TTTTTATGTTTGTGTATTTTAAGATAAGTAATATATAATTTTATTTGCTTGTATCTTGTCAGTGTTTTTTTTACTTTTACCAATATTTAAATTTAGTTAATCAAAATATTTTTTATGCTTCTTTAATGAGAGTTATAATTATGGCCCATGTTTCGGAGTCTGGGTATTTCTTCCAATAACTTGTTTGCATTAATTTTGAAATGGAGACAGAACTGGACCTCCAGTCTCTTGCCATTATGGAACTACCTCATCAGATCATTTATGCATTTGAGCATTTTGTATTTTTTAATGCAAATTTACTTCATACATACAGTGCCACTGCTGTTTCATGTCTTAATTATTTGTCCCAACCATGACGATTTTTCTTGTCCACCTTTTGAGCACATCAGTTAGGATAAATTGGTGTTTGCTGGTACTAGCCAAAGTCAGTCACTATAGGCCTTCAATCCTCTACTTAAAGGAAATTGTCTATCTCCAACTGAGTTATTTGAGCATTAGCCTTTTGTTTCTTTTTAGGGAATTCAATTTTGTTTTTAAAATAGAGTTTGAGTTAAAATATCTAAGCTTCTACATCCGTCATGATGTTTATACTTATTGACAAGGATTACCGATATGAACCCTTGTTGTGATGAATTATGGAAGAGCTGAAGCAGCCGAGAAAGCACATTTGTTATATGGGGGAAAAAAGTTAAATATGATTAAGGAGATCATCCATGTTTATTGCACTCTATTCCATAAAAAGCATTTTAAACTTTTTTATTCTCTGTATACTTAATATTGAATCAAAGGCAAGGCAGTTCTTGCATTTATAATATGTTTATTTGTATCCCGTGGGAAAATTTCTGATTGATATCACTTTCTTGTAAAAATTGCTTTTCCATGAATTCACAGGTCAATAGTGTGAGGCTACCTCGTCATGTTTCTGACAAAAGACACTTTTGTGGCACTGCTTTGATTGAATTTTCGGAAGAAGCTGACGCAACAAAACTTTTAGAGGAGAAGTTGGTTTTTGCTGGAGCAGAGCTAGAAATAAAGCCAAAGTAAGCTTTCTGGATTCTATCATCTGAAAATTTGTAGTGTTTAATTTGATTTTTTAGTGTTTTATGGTGCATACTTTTTGTGTAGCCAAGTACATTTAATCACAAAAAAATGCATAAACAATCTATTAGCGATTACAGGAAGATGGATATAATAATTTATAAATTATTCAATGACCATTTTATAAATAACTTAGCTTTGGATATATATATAACAATGGCAGGCTTAAATGCTTAGTAATCGTAGATTGATTTGTAAAATTAAAATAATTGAGATAGAAGAAATTTTAAAATGGATGAAACTAGATAAGATCGTTAGATTTTGATGATATTCTTATTGAGGTTTGTAAGGTTTTAGGGGATCGAGATATATTTTTGTTGATTAGTTTATTTGATAAAAATAAAAATTAGAAAGATGTTTGATGAATGAATTGTGTTTCTATACCAATTTATAAGAATTAAGTAAAATATCCAAACCTCCTCAAGATATAGAGGAATTGAAATGTGTCACATTAGTAAAACGTGTTACATTATTAAACCTTGGAAAATTAGGATTGAAGGTAGAATGAGATATGAAATTAGTTCTTTTGGGAATCATTTTTGTTTTTTTGTTTGGTGGATCAACAAAAAAAATTATTTATTTATTAAGGTAATTAATGGAAAAATATAGAAAAAAAAGAAAAAAAATGCATATGGTTTTTATTAAGGAATTCAATACAGATAAGCTTGGTACAGTTTGATCTACATATTTCAGATTGACAGGGGACCAGACCATTGTAAATCAGGCGTTTCAAGCCCTACATCAGATACCAGGCTCACCATCTGGTATGGGTCTGATAATGGGTCTGGATTGTGCGTTATGCCAGGTCCAACCTTTTCAACCATAAAAATAAAAAAAATTCTTACACCTAGTCTATGGCTTGTGCATTCTCTCTACGCCTTTGTGCCCAGGTTTGCTGCTGCCCACGTTTGTGTCCTCCATTGCCAGGCCCTACTGATTGGTACTCTCCTGATCATCTTCCCCTGTTTCGGCACTCCCCCCTCTTTCTCCGTCACTGCTTCTCTTCCTCCTCTTTCTCCGCTGCCTCCCCTCCTCTTCCTATGCCTCGTCTCCTCCTCCGTCTTTCAGTTTGCTCCTTAGTTTAATTTTTTCCTAGAAATAATTCAGATACTGCATGTGAAGTTGGTTAACTCTAGCTATGATACAATATAATACATTAACTGCTATTTTTTAATTTAAATGTAGGAAGGATTTTGATTCTAAAAGGGAGAGGATGTGGAAGGATGCTGAGAAATCTCGCTTTAACAGAAATGCTTCAAATGGAAGGTTCTGTCGATTGACTTGTACTTTGTGACCTCTCGATATTCATTTATATATACATTTTAGTCTCACTACCATTTTGGTTGTGGCCTATGATAGCTATCCGAAAGGTGTAATTGTTGCATTCAAGTTGAAGAAAAAGCAAGAGGATAAATGTGTGGAACATAATGGTGCGGACAAGGTTAATGATGATGCAGGATTCTGCAAAGCGGAACAGGGTCTGAACACAGCAAGTGATGAAAGTGAACAATTAGCAGTGGCTGTGGGCGAGTCAACAGATGGTGTTGACAAGGAAAATGAAACTAAGGCCGCTGAAGATGTCCCAAAGGAAAGAGAAGAGGAGGTTACTGATGATGTTGCTGAAGATAGAGAAAACAAGGATGACAAAGGTCCATCAACTGACAGTGTGGAGGTGAAGAACCCTGTGCCTGATAATGAGAGTGACAACGACAGTATTGTTACCAGAGAGGATCTTAAACAGATATTCCAGAAATTTGGTGCTGTTAAGGTATTTTGTAGTGTAAACCATAATGTTCCTCCGTATTTCAAACTTTCTTTTCACCTTTTTTTAATATATTACTAATGATGTAACTTCAATGGACCCTGCATTTTGATTTTTCCTGAAATTAGTTTTGTTAACATGCTCCCTGTATCTGCTGTTTTTTATGTGGAAAAGAAGGCCAGAAGATATAGGAACCTAATGCAGTATTCTAAGATCTCTTGTTTCTGTCTTAATTGCTGATTGATTTTTATTTTACTTTTTTGAAGTATGTTGACTACAGAATGGGGGAGGAATCTGGATACATCCGTTTTGACGATCCTGATGCAGCTACAAAATCTCGTGCGATGGCAGTGCTTGTTGATGACGGTGGCTTGACCGTGAAGAATTACATAGTCACCTTGGAAGCCTTGACTGGTAATTGACCAAGTTATACTACCTTCAAAATTGTCATTAACACTTCCATGTTGATGTTACCATTGTTTTTAGTTGAGCATGTGGATTATTTTTTATACCAGGTTTAGGTCATTAAATATGTTAAACTTTCTCCTAAGATATTTTTTGGGGCTTGTGCTCCTTTGACTGCACAATTAATTTGTCTTCTTCTTTCAGCGTTTTTTTGGCTTCCTATGAAAAGGATAGTCCATCTTTCCTGCTAAGACTGCCCAGCTAGCCAAATGTCGGAGGGTAGCTTGCTAGTTGCAGAAGTGCAAATTGCAAACTGATTAGATTGATGTTTGACAATCTGCTAATATGCAAACTAGCTTTTCAGGTTCCAAAAGAACCTCTACCCAAATTTCATTAGGGATAAAGCATACACTTTTGATTGACCACTCATCATAAATTTGTCAAATCTCAAATTTATTTTAGAAGACTATTACATGGATGCCGTAACTTATTTTAACTATAAAGTAAGATTATCCTACTGAACTATTAGCTTTCTTTTTAATTTCAAATCATCTCTTCTTGGTTTCGAACTTGGCAGTCATCTTAGACAGGTGAGTGCCCTCTTAAATTGTACTTCAAACTCACGCCTTCTAATTTTAACTTCACATATTTAGTGAGGTTACAGAAACTTCTGTTAGTTCTTTAGCTTGGCTTCTTCATGTCAAAGATCATACAAGATAGACATCGTGTACTTAATGGATCATGCAGAATTTATATTTCTGCCTTTGTTGGATTATCTGGCATGTAGCTCAAGATAAATTTAATAATTTTTGTTATTTTGGTCTCTAGCAATGATGATTTTCAAGAGAAGCCTGTTATGTTTCTGATTTCTTTATGCAAATGACTCCTTATGCAATGCAAGATTGATAATGATCTAGTTGAATACACCTGAGAAAGCCTTATGTTCCACGTGGTACTAATTATCTAGTTGCTACTTTAGGTGAGTCGGAAAAGGAGTACTGGAACTTGCTTCGCAGCAATCAGGAGCGGCATAGAGGAAGGTAGTTTATCCCTCCACATCCTTTCTAATTTGTTCTTGTTCCACCCTGTTTGTTCTGAGTTGAATGCTCGGCATTTGAACCTCGCCTGGATGTGCATTATTAACTCGTACAATTTTCTTTCGCAGAGGTGGTAAATACAACAGAGGTGGGAGAACGCACGGCAAGCGACCATGGCACACTGATTCAGCTGAGAGACAGCCTAGAAAATCTCACAAAGTTGAGGCCACTGCATGAATATTTATGGAATCACCAAGTCCGAGCTCGTCTCTTATTGAACCGAGTAACGCATAATTATCTTGATAACGTTTGATGATATCATAAGTTAATACACTTTTGCTAGTTGTCATGAGTTCTAATGAGATTATCCTCCTCTCTAAGCTAACTGGTTTACTGCATTGGTTGCATCTTGCTTGTGAAGTTTCTACCATGCTAACCTTCACAACCACATAAAACTTGGCTTGCTCAACTGCAGTGGATTGTGGCCATGGCAGCTCCCAGTTCTTAATGTTGACTACTTGTCCTTGATGAACTGGATAATTTGATCTTTGGATGCATTATGTTTACATAGAACATAAATATTTTCACATAAAACAAATCACTCCTTTACATTCTTGACATGTTCCCCAATGTATCAAATCTTGCAAGCAATCAATGAATATATGAATGATTGCATGGTAAACATCAAAAGTACAAATCTGGTAAGCATGCATTCGGTATTCATGCTTTGACTGACTTCATTTAGTTGCTTGATACTGCTCAACAGACACATTTAGTATTCAAGGTTTTGAATATTAGATATGCTGGTCAATCTAAGACCGGTATAGGTTTACCTATGTCGGTATCGTGGATCGCAAATTAGGGTATCTTGTGTACCGACACATAATATGTTAGCGGACCACCTGCTCTAGGTTGTCAGTATCATTCTTATCGTAAATTATGTTATTGTATCGTAAATTTGCTAAGGAGTTCCCTCCAGTTAAACCTGAATTCAAGGTTCCTTATACATTCTTTAAAGAAAATTTTCTTATATTTTATTTTATTTTATTTTTCTTTGTATGGAAGACTTTACATATTTGAATTATTTATCTAACAAATAAACTGATTTTAGGAATTCAAAAATACTTGATAAAGCTAACTCAGGATTCTTAATGAGAAGCATAGGAGACACTATGCAACCAATTTATATAAGACACAAATACATCCATCATCAGTACCTCACAACAAAAGCAATCCTATATGGCCAAAACTCTTTTTATCTACACACCTCAAGATGAACAAAATAGCTTTAGTCTCATTGCTGACCTATTCAGCTCTGGTATCATACTACACCTACCTGCATAGTCCACATGCAGCAACACATCAGTAAAATCCAACAGTGGCAATGTATTATTATTATTATTATTATTATTATTATTATTATTATTCCATGCATATAGATCAAAGTGTTTTAAGGTACCTGGCTTGATGACTGACCATAGCTGGGTTTGCAGAGGAAGGAAGGATGTGGAGAAAGATTGAATCAGTGACTTCTTGTCTCTCTCTCTTTCTCTGGTTTCTACTTAAAAGTTGCATGCAAGAACAAAAACTAGCAAGCAAAGTAAGAATACTTAGTTAAGCTGTGTACTGTGAATTCCTGCATACTGTCCTCCAGAATTCTTCCTTCTACTGTTCTGATCCCTGTGATGAATCATCTGACTGATGAGTCTGCTGCTGTTGCCATTGCCCGGCACCATTAGCGCCTGCCACCAACCTCCCTGGTTCCATCTGCTGATATATCTGGCCCATGGCCTCTAGATTCCATACCCCGATACGCCCATCTTGCGAGAGCCCGAGCTCCAGCCCCGGCAGCTGCTGCCCATGCCCGCCGAGCATGGAGGCGAAGCTCATCGCGCTGAGGTTGGAGCCTGCCAATTCCAGCCCATGCAGCCCCGTCCTCTGCACGAAACTGCCTATGGAAGCGTCGCCGCCTCCTGCCCCGACGTTGTTCGAGCTCGATGAGGCTGCCGCTGACGGACGCATGAATCCGGAATCGAAGCCACACACCGGCGTCGGCCACAAGCCCGGGTGCGACCGAGGCAGGCCGGCAGCCCCGACCGCGGCCCAGTTGGGTTGCACGGCGGCGGCCGCTCTCTGTCCCATTTCATCGAGCTTCTGGTGGAGTCCCGCAGGGACGCTGGCGCCCAGGTGGGAGTACACGGCGCCGGTGGACGCAGCGGCGAGGGCGGACGCCGGGATAGTGCCCGTGCCGGTGGCAGCGATGATGGAGGGCTCCGCTTGCTGGAGGAGCCACTGGACGGTCTCCCCGTCGGACTTGTGGCCCAATTCACGGGTGAGCTGAAAGATCCTGGCGGCGCAGAGGGCGGGCATCCTGATCCTTCTCCCCCTGCCGTCGACTTTGGTGTGCCGGTCCTTGTTGGAGCTCCTCCTGGGCGCAAGCTGGCGCCTTTGCTCATCCTTCTCTCTCGCTGCGGCCACTTGTAACTCTCTACCACCCAAGGCTGCGGAAGGTAAAAGGTCTCTCCTTTCAGCAGATGCCACAGAGTCCGCGGCTGTGGTGGGTTCTTTCTTATCTCCCTGAGGGAGGCACAGGGTCTGCTGGAACTTGGGGACGTCCCGTGGCAACTTGGCACAGCTCTTGCGATCCATGAGAGAGATGGAAAAGGTGCGATTTTTGGAGCTCCAATGGAAAGTAGGAGGTGAAGAGAGATGGATCAGAAGGGAAGAGGAGCACTAGACTTTCTTGCCGATGATTCTGGCCAGGGGATTCTAATACAGAGAGAGAGAGAGAGAGAGAGAGAGATCTAACAGTCTGCTTTTACTGCACTCTACTCTTACTGAGATTTACGAGGTAAAAGGGGGTGTACAGATAAGAAGACAGAGAGGGAAACGATCTGTGAATCTTTGCTGTAGGCAAGTCAATGGAGATCATCCAGCGTCAAAGTCGTCAAATTGGAAGTTCTACCATCTGCTTCGAAATCTTTCTTCAGCAGCTACACATTGCCCAGAATTTGATTCCTTTTCTTTTTCTTCCTCATCATCCTTGATTTGTGGGGCTGTCCTCACTCTGACCATCCATACTAGAAGTAGAATTCCCTCTCTCCACAGTCTTCCATCATGCTTCCCTGTTCCCTTCTTCCCACCTTGTCTGCGACATCATTGCTCACAGCAACAGTACAGCAGTTGCCTCTCTTCGAAGGGACTCCCCATTGTCCGAGGGGCACCCTTGTTTGGCCACATTTGGCATCACCAAGCTGGTCCACTGAGCTTGCTTGGTCACCACTCCAAAACCTTAGAGAGAGAGAGAGAGAGAGAGAGATAGAGAGGATTTGACACCAACAACAATGACAACAACAGGAATCACATGGAAACGACGGCAGGAGGTGGTTGCAGAGAAGGGAGGAATCGAGCAGTTTCAGCTCTGCAGCTTCCTTCTTTAATGAAAGTGAGTCTTCTTTTTCGCTTTGCCTCTTTGTTGGGTGGCTTCTCACAGTTGTGATGCATGTCATGGGTGCTTTCTTTCTCCTCTGTACGTGGGGGACTGTAGACTGCATGCAAGATGATGGAACTTGTGGATGGACTGTCCATGGATGCTTTTCTTGGATATTTAGGCACTTGTCTTTCTTAGCATTGATCTGCTTACAACAGTAGTTGCTATGTAAGGAGGACTTGCTTACTGGTGATGGATGTAACTGTGGAAGTGTGCTATGTGTTTAGTGATGATGGTTGGACTTAGTTGTGCAAATAAATGATGGCAAAGGGACTGACTATAGGTGTTGACATATCACTTGGGGGGGGGGGTTATCATCAACTCACACCATGAACAAAAGAATCTCACTTTACATGATGAGCTCCTCAGTTGGCATTCTCCAAAGCCCCTTTTGAAATGGAAGAGAGAATTTGTGCTACTATCTGTAAGCCAATTGCTACTTAATTTTGACTGAACAATCAAAAGAAGATAACATAAAATCCAATCAAATATATTTTGATTAATTTTTTAGTAAAAAATCACCGTTAAACCGATAAGGTGAAGTTTGAATATTGGATATCATCAGAAATATCAAGACTATATGCTCCCTCACTTCTAATCTCCACAGACTTCGTTTCAGTTAGCATATCAATCAAATACTTAGTCAAGACCATTCGGATTGAGAGAGAAAGAGTTTTTCAGGAGAATTTTTTCTTTCTCGTTCTGAATAGCTTTGTCTAGGAATTTGTCTAAGCAGGAATACATGAGATATTCCTCTCATGACATCGAGAGCGGATGATCCTTTATCGACATTCAATGGTCCTAGGTTAAGCTACCACTCCGAATAATCTGATGAGATCATATTTTAGATTTTCACCCGGGTCTTAAATGAAAAGAAGAAAATAGACTATATACAAGAAAAAAATGATTGAAATTATCATGCACAAATTATACACATGATTAACAATTTCAACATATCATAAATCATGATATACTAAGATTTACTAATTAGTATATTGTGGTTTGACTTTGTCTTGGGCATTGATCATTGAAGTGTCTAGCGACGATTAGTTGCCATCTTCATGGCCACTTGGATCCACAAATTGGACATTGCCAAGGATCATTACATTCTTAAAGTCAACTGGAATTAGCCAACACCCATCATTTACGCCTTGAAATCCGGGATCAATTGGCTGTGCTATCAGTGACTTAATATGGCAGCTTTATCGCTATTAGGTTATTTTCTTACTTGAAGAATTCTCGTCACCAAAGTCGTAAAGCAACCAATCTTACCATTATGACATGACTCACCTTTCTCTTAAACATTGAACTTTATAGTGATAAAGCTTTCATTAGCCTCCACTTTGGGATGATGAAATGGCACTCAACACCCCTTTGTTGTTACTACTGTATTAGATAGAAAGCAACTGCAGTCACTGCATCTTTACTGTACTGTAATTGGCTTATCATGACCTTCTGTATTCTGACATCTTACAGTTGATGATGACAATCTTCATATTGCATTAGATGCACAGGTCCTACCAGAAAGAACTGCTCAATCTTTTACTTTGTTTTGCTGGTATTGTCAATAGATATGTTGATGCCAATTTTAAGCTGTGGAGGCTTTAGTTCTGTAGGACTAACCAACCATGATCTGCAGATACTTTTGATTACCAAATGATAGCAGACAAGGATCTACAACTCACAACATTAGTATCTTAGAGGACCAGTGGTGGATCTTGCACTGAATTGAAACAAGTTCATCAGAGTTAATGATAATAGAATTGTACCTATGTTCTTTTTTTTTTGTCTGGGAAACCACACTCATCTAAGCTGCTTAAATCAAATTAAGATATGATTCAGTTTGGAATGCATACAAATATAAAGATAGTGTTCATCCATGATTCATATCAAAAGGTATGATACGTACAAATATAAAGATATGATTCATGTCAAAAGGTATTTCTCACCATCTAATGCAAGATGATGTTCATCCATGCTCATGTCAGTTTATGCACTCAAAGTTACTCATGGAAACATAATCTTCTGAACAGGGTGGCCCAATATTATTTCAAGTTGTAAAACAGTTCTTATCCAAATCAGCATAAGTTTAACATCAATTGATTTAGTTGAATTGCACATGACGTACTAACAAATTCCGGATGATACGTGACTCGAAGAATGATTAAAGACTTGACAGCTAATGAACAGTTAAACCCTGCCTAGCTTCCGCTCGAAGAGCCGACGCAATAGATAAACTTGCAGCACACTGGCACCGATCAGAGCAGCAGATTCAAAAAGTGCCTTGTGAATGGCTCTCCTGCTCATGCCTTCATTCACTGCATAACAGAAAAAAGATCAGATGATCCCTTTTTCAGAGCACAACTTATATTATGGAGAGTGATTATAATACTCGGGCAATCCTTTTCAAGTTCAAATATGATTCTGTCAACTTTTTCTTTGAACTTATCTACAAAATGCCATGTGAAAACTATGATTATAAATAATTGCATGGTCATGGAGAATCACACACTTTTTAAGCATAAATTTTCTAATTGGGTATGATGCAACACTATGACACCCTTTAATTATATCATATTTGCAAAACCCATCTTTACACAATATTTAATCCTTCAATTAGCAAAAAAGAAATGATACTTCAGAGAGTGTGCTTTGATACCAACAGTAAACAGCATGGAAGACCAGAATTCTAGTCTCAGAAACAATCTTTCCAATATAGAGATAGGTTGACACTCTCATTGGCGGAAGGCTGGTTCACTGCCCCTTTGTTTAGCAGAGAAGAGCAAGCCACTATATTCTAGAACCACTTAAAGTAGTAAATAGCTGATGATAAATAAAATAGAAGAGAAATATTCATCTATAAACTAATTAACTAAAGTTATACTCTTACTGTATCAATGAATGGGTAAGCAAAAGGCATATATCACAGTAAAAGATAACTGTGTTTTGATCAGCCAGTGCAACAAATTTCATCAGATATACCTATGGCTTGGCGATCAGTCTGAGCTTCCAACCAATGCTGCTCAAATTGTATGTTATAAAGAGCTTCTTCTAGTTTCCCAATCTGCTCCAGTAAAGGGCCAAAATGCTCTGCATACAATTTATTCACAAAGAAATTACCAAAAAAATATGTATACATTTGTACCCTCGTATCTTTAAAAGTATTACCAAGGCTTCTTACCATCTTTTGCATGTTGCTCAAAGTAAGAAAAGTGGCCAATATAAACATCAAAATCTATGGTTTCATGATACGGGGACCTATTTGTGAAGCAGAAACGATGAAGACCACTCTTTTGAGCCATAAATTCAAACTTTTCACTTGTCTTGTCATAAAAATCATGAATTTGAGTGCCTGAGGGATCCTTCACCTAATATATCATGCAGTTACAGAAAAAAATGTTAATATGAGACTATATATTGATAACCTCTTCATGCATGAAATGCTTAAAGAACCAGAATCCGGTTATTAATGCCTTCACTGAAATGAACCATGTTGCAAAAACATTTAGCTTTTTACCAACCTTCTTCTACTGCCTTCCTAATGCAAGCAATAGAAAATGGAGACAAACATACCAATTAGGTAACAGCACTCATATTTACATACACAAAAAACAACTGTAAGGCAAAACCAAAATCACATCTCACCTCTTCTTTTAGTGTTCACCATAAATGTTCACGTAACATATATAGCATTTATGGAAGTTCTTCAATAAGAGTACCCTTAACTAGTTTCTTGAGACTAGAAGAAACCAAATGCAAATAATTGAAAAATCTAATATTCTTTTCCATCAAATAAACAAGATGTTTGAGAATGGACAAACAAAGAATAAGAGATCAGAAATAACTGTCCAGAAGTACTTGCTAAGGAAAGCTCCTTTGATTATAATCAGGCAACCTAGGGTTTGTCTTGGTGCCTTGTGACTTGTTGCTAAGGATGTGAACACTGAGAACGTTGTTGTCAAGCCTAGGTCCTAAATGACTTCACTGTTGGTTCTGGAGTAAGATCCAAGATGTAGATCTTGTTGACATTAACATAAATGTAGCCATGTTGTGCACACAACTTAATGGATATAAAGGTTCATGTTGGATATCCAAAATCACCAATCTTAGGACAAGATTTGCCCAGGGGAAGCCATTGATGCAATCATGAACCCAAGATCAAACTTAATGCAGTTGGACTTAGTTTAAGGGGTGATCAAGCTTGAAACTAGTAGTGTTTATGTTCTCAAGTTAAAGTTAAGAGTCCAAATGTAATTTTTTATATTACAGCATATCTTCGTCCAAATTTTTAGGCATATTTTAGGAAGAAAGTTCTAGTGAGATTTGAGCACTTTTGTGTCGTTTAGATTAACTAGACTCTGTTATCCAAAAGATGTCCAACTGTATTGTATCTAAAAGCTATTAGGTTTAGAAGGTTTTTTACATGTGATGAGATTTGTTAATTTTAATAAATAATAATAAGGTCTTTTACCTTCCTTGTCCTTCACTCTTTTTTATGGCTTAATAGTCATAAGCCCATAGTTATCTTGACTCATCTACTTTAGAGATTTATCAAGTGCTTGTGTCGTTTAAGAAAAGAATTGGTCCACTAGAGACCCAAGTTGATCTGAGTCAGGTTGCGCACGAAGTGTATAATTTCAAATTCGAAGTTTATAAGGACAAGTAGAAGATGAGGCAATATTGTTTTAGTTACTCTCTGGTCTCCAGATTCATTATATGTTAATTTTCTTGGCCAAACTGGTTGACAACAAAAGTAGATGCTCCAAGAAGATCATTCTTTTTTAAAGAGAGAAGTCTAACAGCTAATGGTTGGTGCTTCATGTCATGATCAATCTTTAAAAAACAAAGAGCAGGGTCGACTGAATTGTCAAACTACTGAACTTCAAGTAAACATATATTTGAAAGGTCATCATGGAGGATTCTCCAACATGCAAGATTAATTTGGAATTTCATAATAAAAAACATTTGGGCAAAACTCTGCCTCTTTTTGGGAATTGACCACGAAGGTATGTTTTTTCAATAGTTTGGAAAGGTATTCTAATTTGAAAATCATCTTTAACTCCAGCATGCCACTTTCTATAAGAGATGGAAGATATATTAGAATATGAAATCCCTAAATTTCTCATATAGTAGGTCCATCTCAACATCACTTAGAGTAATCCATTCTTGAAATACAACAAACCAAAGTAAATAGTAATAAAAATTTTCAATTTTGTCTAACAAAACAATGAATTTTGGATATTCTATCTTAGCCCTTGTTTTCACTGATCTTATTCAGTTTATAAGATCAGTTTCAGGAAATCCTTAATGGAAAAGCATTGTAGTCTGAAAGGCATCAGTGAAGATACCTTTTCATCAATTCTTAAATCTTGGTGCATTCAATGGAACTTTAAATGTCTATAAGGAAGGCATTTTGCCATCTCAAGCTCCAAAGTCTTCATGTGGCTAGAACTTAAAGAAAGATTAAGATGCTCTTCTGCAAGATTTTATTCTCCCTAATTGCTTTTGTATTCATCCATTTGTCGCCAAGGATATCATCCATTTCTGTAAATGTCCTAGAAAAGTTAGACTTTGAAATTATCTAATATAATTATATTAAATATGAGAAGAATTATATATAATCATCTCATATTATATCTAATTATATTAAAAATGAACCAGTCAGTATGTCCCAGTCCAACTGGATTTCTAGACACTTTATCTAATATCTTTTCCTCCCTCTTTTCGCATTCGCTGCTGTCACCTTGAAGTAAAAAAAAAAAAGAAATCTTTATGATCCCTTCCTCAAATTTACACCGTGATAGTCACCTAGGTCGGGGTGGGGGTGAAGAGGAATGGAGATAAGCAAAAATTATTTTACATATTGTAGACTCTATCATGCTAATTTATCCTGCATGAAATACAAAAACATATTCACTGTGTTGACTAAATCCCACCCTGGCAATTTTTTCAATATGAAAGGTATCCCTATAATATAAAAAAAATAGCTTCCATAAAATTGAATTGACAAAAAATAAACCCACAACAACACATTATTTTTCTATTCATGCAATTTAGTTTTTAAAAAAATGAAACCAGCCAATTCTTTATTCAGTTTTTAGAACTCTGATCTAAATTCATAGAGACCAATATTTGCATCAACTAAGAGGTTTACACTTTCCTTGAGTAACAACACCGAGGGCCAATGATGTAGTTTGTCTAACACATATTGGTAGGAGGTCAACCTAAAATTCTAGAGGACCGCTTAAGGGAAGTAGATTGTGATTTCTTATGCGTCAACCAAATCATCCTTAGGATAGCTAGGATTATTTCCATTTCCTATCCATTCTCCCTTATGTTTTAATCATGCATTCCAATTTACTGAACTCTAGAAAAGAACATTTCATGATGTTCTATATCTTCTGTCTGGTTTCTCAACAACATGGATGACGAAATCTAGAAGCCTATGTCAAGTTCTATGAATCAAATCCATAAGTAGAAGTTCAACTAATAAACTTAAAAACAAAATCATATGACAGAGAGTGACATTGCCACAAGATCGAGCCCTCGTCAAACGCCCTACATTAATCAAATGGAAAAAAGTAGCTATTAACTAAATAGCACATATACAAGATCAAAATGTAATACATAGAGTTTAACATAAATATCCAAAGAAGAACAAAACGTACCACGAGATCAATACCCTCGTCACCATAATGCCATGGGGTTTCTGCTTTAATCACAACAAAGGAGACATGAACCGTATCCCCTTCATAAGGAACAGAATGAGAAAAGCATTCTTCCCTATCTATCACAAATCTGATCCCAATAGTTGGATGCAGATGCAGTAGAAAAACAGAAGCAAGGAAAAATGTGAATCTCACAGAGAGTTCCTGCATCTGTAGACATGTAAGAAGGAGTGCACCAATGGGTCAATCCAGCAATTTGAATTTTCCAAAGCAAAGGATGTAACTCAAAATAACTCCAAATAAAAAAGGATTTCTCTAATAAACAATTTTTTTCCCTTTTTTATGTGTGTGCGTTATAATAAACATCCGCATGTTATATATAATCCCACAAACATAGATGGGCTCACATTAATAGCAATCATAATCTATAACGACGGCATCCTTATCTGTCAGATGATGATAAATAAAGAGAGAACAAAAGAATTACATAACAATCAGTTGATCAGCAAAGATCGAGTTTTTACGAAATTCCAGAACCATCAAATACATGCGAAACAAAAGAACATACGGATCACCAAATTAAAGACAGCTGATCAAAAGAACCCACTGTTTCCCTTCAGACGTGGAGATCAATAATACTAAAAGCTGGAACCAATCAATAAGAAGCAGAAACATGAATCTGCATCTATACCCATCGAAACTATCGGAGAAAGGAAACATGACTACCACATCCGAATTCAAGGATATAATCGTGTCACAAAAATGCGATAAACAAATTTAACGGATCGAAGGCCTCGACTGATGGAGCAATCGAGAGAGGGAGGGAGCTTTGCCTTACCTCGTGCCAACGGAGACGTTTCAATCTGCACAATTTGGAAAATCTTCGGATCGAATCGCTCGATCAGCTTCGGGAGAAGGAGGAGAGCTCAAAAACAGAACCCAAAAACACAAAAGAGCTGTTTTCGATCGGTTGTAATGTTGCGTGACAGCATCTAGGCAATTATTAGGGCTTCGATTTCGGCTGGGCTCGGCCTAAACCGGACCAACCCAACTCGGACAAGGGGCCTGGTCGAATTGGAACTTAATTACACTTACCTTCGGTGTCTCGATTCGAAAAGTTATATTGATATTTCTATAATTATAAAAATAAAATATTTAGATCTATCTATCTTAACGATTTTACTAACATAAATAAAAAATAAAAGATAAAAAGATAATTTTAACGTTCGAACTAATGATAGTAAACAGTGACGTTGTTGAGGGCCGCGAATAGTTGTTGTGGATGAGGAGAGTGACGGCGAGAGGTGAGAGCCGCTTTGCATCTGTGTTGACGCTGATGTAATTACTAAGCAACCCTTCGACTGTTCTATATCTACGTTGATGTCGATGTAGTTATCGAACGACGAAAAGACTGTTGATGCAATTGTCGCTTGGCATATGCATTTGACACAAATGTAGAGCGGCATCAATATAATTGCCAAGTGACGTTGCTCTACATCTATTTTTTTCATCACTCGACGGTTGTGTCGATATCGGTGCAGTAACTAAGTGATGAAATTGTCGCTTAACACGGGAGTGCCTAATTTGCTACAATCAGCTCGTATGGATATTGCTAATCCTATGATATTCTCTATAGTCCACAATATTATCTCATAGCCTTTAATTTAGCTCATTCAAATATGATAGTTCATGAGCATATTTCTTAGACAGAGTTAAAGATATTTCAAGGTGTTTTTCTTCATGTCTAAGAAATACATTAAAAGAGTTAGTTACCAGTTGTACAATACTTAATTTCATAATTCCTTATGGATGAAGGATTATTTAATGCACTAGTACTTATTTTAGTGTTTTAGGGTTAGAAAGAATTTTAGAGAAACTGATGATATTGGCAGAAACTCTCTTAGAGTTATCTCTTAAACTCTGTATCACTTAGATGCTTCCTTGAGTGATAAGTCTTTTGTTTTTAGTTCTGCATTATTATTTATTATCTTGGGGGTGATGAATTTTCTATATTCCTTTGTAATTTTAAATTTGATTCTGAGTTATTTTTTAATTTTATTAAAGTATTATCATGAGTTCGTTCTTTTTTTATCTAAAACATTTATTCCAATAAATATAACTGTGCTATTGGTTTTCATTTAAAATCTATTTCATATTATCTCGATATCACTCTTGTCGACCGCAGTGATAATTTGGCCTCTTCAGATACCAAAAGAGATGTATGTATCTGACATCATTAGAATTGCTGACAATGATCCTTTGCAAACATTTGTTGTCCTCCACAGTTGGCATTGTTTTAACTGAGAAGAAGAGATTTTGTGTTGTCTCATTATTTCCAATCTTTTGGCCAAAAGAAATTGCATCTTACCTAACATTAATGTTATCTCTAATCTCTCATTATATTTGGAGTTACACTTGTTGTTTCTCTATCAATCACACCATAAGACCTTCAAAAAATATAGTTGTTTTGGAATTCCCTTTCTCCCCTAAATTTTAGGTTATGCTGTCTTGGAAAACTTTAAGATGACATGTTTGACATTTATTCCTGAAAGCAAGAAGGTAACAGCCAAGTTGAGGAAGCATATACTTGATGTAGAAATCATACTATGTCACAATATCATAGCCATGTTCTACAAATTGTTTTCTCCCATTTCCTAGAAAAATAATAATAATAATTAATCAGAAACTTTCTTTTATGTCTACTGAACATGACAATGTTCAAGCTAGAATGAGTCTATTAACAATGGAAATCAAGAATATTATTGCAAGAATGAGCACTATTAAAACAATCTTCTTCTCTGCAAACTTGCCTCACATTCTCAGGTAGAACAACTTACATGCAAACTCCATGCTCATCATTCAACTCTTGAGTCCTAAAACCTCAGCTAAATCACAAAGTTTCTGTGATCCCAATTGCCAGTGAGACCCACTGCTAGCTTTCAGTGGATGCCCAGCCTCCACAAAAGTGCTCCCAAACTTTGGATTGTCTTTGTAAAGAGTCAATCATACAGAAAACTTCTACCTTGTGCCATTCTTGAAAGGGAAAAGGCCTGTCAAGATTCCTGCAAGCAGCTCCTGGTGATACAGCAAACTTTGGTCTTCCTCAAACACAGAGGTGGACTCGAGGAGGAAGAACTCTACATCCTTGTAACATACGAAAGGAGCATGGAAAGAGATCAAATATCGGATGATAATTTGTTCCTTGCATAGTGTAAATTATGCACATACAATTAGGATCTACCCACCTTGCTCAATTACTTCCACCAACAAGCCAAGAGAATGGGTACATTTCTCCCAGCATGGCTGCGCTCGGCGAGTACACTTGCGTCGGCTGCACGTATCTTGGTGTCGCGACACATGTGTCCTTGATTAGGGTCCAGTAATTAGTGAGAGGGGCTTCCTTCTCCCACACGCTTGTGGTGTTTCACACTGACACCCTATCTATTTACCTCTCCCTCAATAGTAAACAGACTTGTTTCTTTTCATGTGTGTAATTCCTGTGCCAGCAGTGGTCTTATGATCTGAGATGTGGCTTCTTCTCCTTGATTCAGAACTCACGAGGAATCTGTGGTTTCAAGTTCTGCAGCAATTATTTGTCCTTCACTGTTCTGCAGGAAAGCAAGCAGTCTGACAGAGAATTGAGGGACACATTATTCTCTGGTGTCAGTATTAGTCTCTGGCTCCTTCAGGTTGATGTCTGGTTGATGCCAATCTGCCTTGCTGGTTTCTGTGGAACACGCAGCAAGGTTGCTAACTTTGTTGATCATTTGAGGTGGCAGGAATCTAAGAAAAAGGAAAAAGAAAATGTGAAAGAAATGGATGAATTTACATGTTATAGTTTTCTAAAGCAAATGTTCTTACAAGAAAAAAAACAGGTCTTTTTTACTACTAAGTTAAAATTCAATATCACTCACTATTGCCTCAAGAGTTTAAGCTCATCCTACTAATCATATGATAAGATGCCAATCAATCATAACACATTATTGTTTGGTCTCATGTGGTGATTGGTGAATAAGATGACAAGAATCCCACACCATACCTTGTCCTACTGTCAGTGGGTCATGTTTGAGTCAGATATAAATCCAATAGCAGGATTTATACAAATGTTTGGTACCACATTCCATCCATATATCACATCTTAAACAAATATTTAACTAAAAATTAAGCTTTCAAGCTCCATCAACAATCTAAATTTTGTGTGATAAAGTCACAACATAATTGTCATTATATTCCATATGCATGTGAGCAGGCCCCCTCAATCAATTCAGTGGAATCATTGTGCCCAAGTGAACAGCTTAGCTCAGTCTGCAAGCAAAAGAGAAGCAAACCATGGATTTTGGCTTTGAGCCTCAGAGGATTGGTTAATGTACTCCAGTGAATGATTGCCTTCCAGTGGCCACCTCTCAATTCAATGGGCAAGCAAGCAATGGCTTGCTTGGAAGAAATGAACAAGCATGTAATGAGCCACATGACAAGGGGTCCTGCCCTGTCTTCTCTGTCCCTTCAATTACCTCCTCCTATATAACTCCTCCCTCACATTAACTCCCAGTGTTGGTGAATCTGTGACCCCTCCTCTCTTTCCCTTCGTCCTGTATCTGAGACTTGTGCCACAGCTGGAAGAGAGAGGCCAGGGGTGGAATCCATGGGCATGGAGCTCCGCAGAAGCTTGCTTGTGGGGGTGGTGCTGGTGGTGGTGGTGGTGAGTGGGGAAGCTCAGCTCAGGCCAAACTTTTATCAGTTCACATGCCCCAAGGTGGAATCAATTGTCAGGCAAGCTGTTCTGAAGAAGGTGAGGCAGACATTTGTCACTGTCCCTGCAACACTTAGGCTCTTCTTCCATGATTGCTTTGTAGAGGTAAGTTCCCAGAATACCTCTCTCTCTCTCTCTCTCTCTCTCTCTCTCTCTCTCTCTCTCTCTGTGGGATACAAAATGTAGAGCTTAATTGTAATACTTAATCACTACAATCCTGAGAATTCAGTTCATGGTATTGTTGTTTTGATGTTTTTTTCATTGGAATGTGTTAGAAGCTAGGCCTGCTTGGTAATTGAATGGTTTGAAGACAACAAATGCTAAGAGAAATAGATATGGATGAAGCATTTGGTATTAGGAAGAAGGGAGTAGAAAATACAGACACAGTAGCCTTAATTTAGGCATGATCATAATTTTGTCTACATAATCTCTTCCCCAAAATGCAAAGGATATGGCAATCTCCCATGTGAGATGGATCATAATTCATGGGATCATCTCTCATCATCCATTTTTTTCCCCACATTATCTGCTAGAGAATCCAGTCAAAGTATTATCTGAAGCTGCATCTGTGTCTGTAACATCACCTCAAGTAACCCAATTCAATCGAGAAAGCTAAATATGCACCAATTCAATACAACAGTAAGCAGAATGCAGGGACTTGCAGGGTTGTGATGCGTCCGTCCTGATCGCTTCACCGAGAGGCGACGCTGAGAAGGATGCGCCCGACAACCTCTCGCTCGCCGGCGACGGCTTCGACACCGTCATCAAGGCCAAGCAGGCTGTAGAAGCTCGATGCCCCGGTGTAGTGTCCTGTGCTGATGTCCTGGCAATTGCTGCAAGAGATGTGGTCGTCCTCGTAAGTGAAGTGCACTGATCTTGTCGTGCTTCCACTTGACGGATGTGAATTATAATGGAACGAACGCTTTGTTGCCAGTCCGGCGGCCCGAGCTTCACGGTGGAGCTTGGCAGGCGCGACGGGCTCATCTCTCAGGCGAGAAGAGTAGCTGGTCATCTCCCTGGCCCTGACTTCAACCTCAACATCCTCGCCAACCTCTTCCGGATGAACAACCTCACCACCCATGACATGATCGCCCTCTCCGGAGCTCACACCGTGGGCTTCTCCCACTGCAGCCGCTTCGCCAAACGCCTCTACGCCTTCGGCCCTTCGTCGCCGGTGGACCCGTCGTTCAATCTTCCGTACGCGCAGCTGCTGATGCGAGCGTGCCCGCGCGACGTCGGCCCCACCATCGCCGTCAACATGGACCCCTTCACCCCGACGGTCTTCGACAATGTCTACTACAGGAACTTGTTGAAGGGCGAAGGGCTCTTCACCTCGGACCAGGTGCTGTTCTCCAATCTGCTGTCGAGGCCGGTGGTGAAGAAGTTTGCGGCCGACCAGAGCAGCTTCTTCAGGGCCTTTGCTGCTTCCATGGTCAAGCTCGGCAGGGTCGGCGTGAAGACTGGTCACCAGGGCGAGATCAGGAAGGACTGCACTGCGTTCAATTAGCAGGAATTCATTCAAGAGTTGTTGACATAGATTGGATGGAGGATACTGATGGACAAAGTTCAAATGATTGAATCACAGCATAACACTCTGTTTTCTGACAAACCTCATTGAGGCTTAGCAATGTTTGATGCAGCCAAAGTTTCATGCTCACACAACAAATAAACAGCTTTACCATTTCCAATCATCAATAGCCATCAAAAGAGATGAAGTTGATGAACTTCTTGAAGCTCCTATATATCTCCTCTGCCATAAGATGATTCAGGGAGCAGGAGAATCTTTGTTGTCAGTATTTGATAGACAAAGATTTCAGTTGATAATAACACTCTTCTAAAACACCTCAAAATCATTAGAAAATATTAATTTACATGTCCTCACTTGTGACATCATTTTTCTCTCTTAAATCTAGAAGACATGTCCAAGGAAAATGAAATTTAATTCCAACTTCTAGATTATTATGATCTGTCAAAGCCGAAAGTGCAAAGATTGAGATGAAGCTTCAGAGAAGCTCTCCAGTAAAACAGGGCAAAGAAGCACCAAAAAGCTCACAAACACTCGAGTGATTCCACTGCATCTACAAAAGCAGTCTTACTAATGTTGCTGCTTTACTCTGTTCTTGAAAGGGCTGCAAAAAGTGTCTGACTGATAGCTGCACCACTCTCTCCTTTTTATCCTTTAGTAAAAGCAGAAAAAATCACCAAGAATCATAAAAATTGTTCATGAGTCTTGATTGGACCAGCAATGATGTTTATCTTATGGCCACCAGTTCACCATCAGAAACTATTCCACTTGAACAATACAGTGGAATTATTAATCTTAGTAATTCCTTTAAATGAGGTCCAAAAAAATGAGATAAGATAAACAACAGTAATAAATTGTAATATCTCAATTATTTAGAATTCACCATATGCATCTTTTCTTCTTGATGATAAGCTTTCTACATGGGGTGATTCCCACAGAGTTACCTGTGCCTTCATCTTGACTGTTTTGACATGAGAAACAAAGGAAAAGATCCAATTTACCTTCTTCCTTGTGATGACCAGTACAATCAAAAGGGTGGCATCTTATGATGCAAACAGAGGCAAAAAGAAAATATGCCAATCTGCTCCCATCATCCATCCAAAAGATATGCTTCTTCTTTCTTTGCAAGCATATCAAATATGGAGCAGAACTTTAGTTATACAGAACAAAGGAACAAATCTTTGCCAAGATTAGTTGGTATTGGATCTTGGAATCTTGGGAAAGGGAAGGCATGGACCTTGGTGTTTGACCATTGGCCAACTCTTCCAATGAGGAGAATTGACCTGCTTCAATATTTAAGACATCAGCAGTGGGAACTCTTTATCTCCTCTCAGGTTTTTAGGCTAAGCACCAGGAAGCTGATGAAAGGATATTGGCACAATCTGAATTGTTGCATGGCACAATCTGAACTCTTTATCTCCCCTCTTTTCTAATGATTGTTGCATGAGCCTTCGCCTATATACTGACATATCTGCCTGCCTCCCTGCATTGTTCATACTCTTGTTGGTAGGTGCTTGATGAGGTGAACAGGAAAAGTATTCGTGAGGGTGATTACTAATTACTCCAACCTTTCCCTTCGATTCTATTGCTCGTTTTGGAATCCATGCGAAGCCAAATCAGTCTCCTGATGCTGCAGCTCTCTGCAAGTCCTGATTGCTCTGCGATTCCCTCCTAGCGATTTGAGTTCGTTCTTCTTGTTGCTTTGGAGTCCACATGCACGTCATCTATCCATCTGTTCGTGGATAATACATCTACTGTTTGATTCCCTGCACGCACTTTGAGCTGTTTTGCGGGCTCAGATTTCTTGAAGCTATTGTTGGATCTTGTATTGCTGTTGGTTTCTGTTCCTGGATATGATGTTGACTGCTAAGATTGTTGTCATCTTTGCGTGTGTTATTTATCTTCCTTTTTTGTCGCCCTTCTACTGAATGAGCTTCTGGTGATTTATCTCATCTTCACTAAGCTTCTCTCCTCCAAAACTGCGACACCATGTTCCCCGGTTGCTTTCTCATTCACTGGTTTTGCCTCCCTCGCTTGGTCAACTCCAAGCTACGTTGCGTGATAGACTGATAACGAAGCAAGCAGGACGAAGCAGTAAGAAGGATTACCTAAAGGAGAAAGAGAAAATAGCATACAAGAGACGAAGAAGCTTTCGGAAAGGCTGCTTTCATGGACCGCGACGCCGAAATGAGCACTGGCTCGGTGGTGGCCGGGTCGAGCAGCAGTGACCTCGGACGCTACTCCGGCGATTCTGGGCCGTCAAATAAGTGGAACTACCAACCTACTGTGTCCACGATGGCGGTGTCTCCACCGAAGACGGCCCGAGCCCCGGCGAAAGGCAGCCACAGAGTCTCGTGCTTGGTCGACGGGTGCACGGCAGATCTCAGCAAGGGCAGGGAGTATCACCGGCGTCACAAGGTCTGCGAGCTGCACTTCAAGACGCCGGTGTTGATGGTCCACTGGCAACAGCAGCGCTTCTGCCAGCAATGTAGCAGGTAATAGAACAACAGGGAATTTTTGTGGGGATTTAATTCTGACAGTCACTGCTTCTCTGTTCATCAAAAGTTCAGCATTCTTCTCTTTTGTCTCAGCAGATTTCAATTGGTAGAAGAATTTGATGAGGTAAAGAGAAGCTGTCGGAGGAAACCTCAGCCATGTTCTATAAATCCAGGGATTTTGTTTCCAGATCATCAAGGTTTGCTCTTTGTCGAAACAACCTTTGGCGTAAGAAATCTCTCACTAGCCCACAATATGCATGAAACTTTCCATCGACTGCGAGACTGCCATCGGCAGCAAAGACCCCCCAGATTTGTGCAGGTCAGCTGAATCTTAGCACAATCACTCACTCCTGTGCGCCGCAGCAGTGAGATGTTCAATGATGGAATAAAGCCATTAAAGCAATCCTTTGACTCCCACCGTGCTCTCTCTCTCTCTTCTGTCATCTTCAACCCAGACCTCGAACACCAGCCCGAGTCATACGGTGCCACCAGCTGATGGAATCCCGGCGGCGGCTCAGCCTTTTGTTTCAGCTTTGCAACACGGCGGTCTCTCCCACAGGCATCAAGCAACGCAACACCAACTGCTCTTCCAAGTGCAGGGACGGAGGACAGCAATCTGCGGACTCTTTTGGTTTCTGGTCGTGCTGATGATTCTGAGATTGATTCCCAGAACATATTCCATGTTGCAGGTGAAGGTTTCTCGGAGGAGACCAGCCGAAATCTTTCCTTTTCTTGGCTTCTTCATGGTTTTGATGATTGGCTGCTGTTGATCACAGTGGAGTCACGTTCCTTGTTATCATTTATGATTCGGGTCCACGTCCGCCGTAATCTTGACCCAAGTCAAGTCAAACTCAAGTCAGATTGTAATGATGCAATCCGTCCACTGGATCACCAATCAAGATGGTTACCATCAAATCAACGGTGATATCCTTGTCTCAATTGAAGGGGTTTATTGGAATGTGCAATATTAATCCTTTATGCATATATAATTACTCGAAATGTCCAATGAAATATCTAATATAGCGTTTCAACCAAAAGTCAAACATTATTAGCAACCTTGGAAGGGAAATATATATGTGTTTTATAATTATATTTATATTGATAAATACGGAAATTGTTGACTATGTAATCAATTTTGACTTGTAACTCCCCACGTCTGTATTTAGCGCAGGCGACAGGATTCGGGTTCGTAGTGTCCGTTCGCTTCAAACTCCGTTCGGCTGCGTGTTGGGCGCCGCCCTCGAAACGGAGAAGAAAACCGCCGCAAAGATCGCTCAATTCCTTAACGAACCCTTGAATCCCTTTAAATTCGAAAAAGGAAGCGAATCGTAATCGAGATTCCTTCCGCTTAATCGTCGGAAATCACGAGCATGATGATCTTGGAAGCGGCGGTGGCGGAGGAAGAAGAGGATGCGAGGCCGATGTTGGAGCGGCGGGGAGAGCCCTTGATGGGGAGCGTCGGAGGGGATGTGCATTTGATTCCGCCATCCAACTTCGGGGTTCCCTATTTCGGACAATTTTCCCTTCTTGGAGTCCCTCAACTTGCGATCCATCGTGTGAGGCTTCCGTTCTTTTTCTTCTTCTAATCTTGAGAGTTTCTTGATCTCGGGAAAGACGATAATATTGTTTGACGGATGTGGATCTTGGACAGGTACTTGTGCCCGGAGCCGTACCCGGCGGCTAATGCTGAGTTCGTGAGGTCTCAGGGGATTCGGCTTTTCCAGTTCGGGATCGAAGGGAGCAGGGTAATTTTCTTCTTCCGTCTTGTGAGACATCCATTCGTGAATTGTATTTGATCTTATGGTTTACATGAGGTATCGCCATGTTTTCCTTTTGCTTTACCTGATGAAAGGTATTGATGTGGAATCCCATTTGGGTTTTCTCGATAGGTTAGACAATTGGTGTCAAAAGTAAAAAAGCAGCTCTTCTTGTTGGTGGATTTTGATTGGTTTTTGCTCGTTATTATTGGAAATCAATAAACAAGTTATATCAATACCAGTTTGATTCAAGAAAAATAAGTTCTAACCTAATCTTGTTTTATTGAATTTGTTTTTTAGTTAAGAAATGTAAATCACATATATAAAAGGGAGGGATAGAATTGTTTCCTTATAGGTTTAATACAAATGATTGGTATTAGGATATATACATATTATCAATACATAGTGCAACCAAAAGCATGATTAATTTCATGTGCAGCCATTTATCAACACGAGAAGATAAACACTCTTGGATTTCAAATAGAAGATAAACACTCTACTATTTTATTTTTTATTAATTGAGGAAAAAATGTTCAATTTATGTTTACATTAAAAGTTTATGTTAAAAGTTTCTAGTTTATCAATACGGAAAAAGGAATTTAAGGGTGGTATATGGCTGTTCCCATTAGCCAGTTGATGGAATGTTGTTCTGGTAAAAAGGAAAGGAATAGTTAAGGAGTAGCTTATGTGACACGCTGTGATATTATGTTTTTTCAAGACGTGTACTGTCATCTTAGTGTCACATCATCGCATAGGCAAGTGGTGATCTTCCTGATCTTCATTTTCAGGTAGCACACAACAGATGTAAGTTAATGGATGATAGAATGTCATGGATCAATTGCAACTTAGGTGTTTTCAGACAGCTACCATGTTCCTTTAATAGTCTCATTATAGTCTTCAAGACATCTCATCATGTAGCTACCTAGGGATATGGATTTCTAAGGTCATTCTTTGTCATTTCATTTTCCATTCAATTTTGTCTAACTCAGAGTCTTAAAGTTTAATATGATTTATGCTTCTTTTATTTATTATGTTTACCATTTACCCACGTGCTTCGATTTTTTATGGTTTCTTTTAGGCTTGATTAATGTAAATATATATTTTTAGATTTATGGGAACAGAGTGATTATGCTAGAGATAGGGGTCTGTGATGCATCCCGCTTATACGGACTTCTCATAAGTACTTTCAAAATAACATGAAGATTACAGTAAACGTGAAAGTGAATCGACAAAATTGTTGAATTTGACTTCTTATAACTAACGGTTGTTGGTTTTATTTGCTCTTGGATTGTTTCAATTGGTTACTGAATTTGAATTGCATTTTAGTCATGTAGATAAAGGGAATCATTACGATCTGTTTGTCAATATTGCAAATGTTTTAGTAGAATTAAGATGCAAGGGTACTTCTGGCTTAGGAGGTTTAAAATATCTTATATTCTTAATACGCCTGCATTTAGTTACATTTACTGCAAGGCTCTTTCATGTTTATTTTCCAATGTGTTCGTTAATCTATGATCTTTCTTAACGATTTTGGTTAATAGTGGTGTCCAAATGACCGAGATAAACAATTTTAGTACCAAGGCATCTGTCTTCTTTTAAATCTTCACAAGGTAAACTTCTTTGAAATTTTGATCTATTGTTGATATGATTGCTATCCTACTTCATAATATCCATAATCCCATGATATACCTTACAAGTTTCTTTTTTCCCTCTTTCTCCATTTCTTACTTCTTTTTTTCTTTTCCTTTAGAACTATTTTTTGTTGTGATATTCCCTATTGTGATTGTGCTTCTAGATCATCACATAAAAGTGCTAGCACGGTGGGAAACTCTGAATGGAAGCTATATGAAATTTGGGAGAAATACTCAAAAGTTGGGTTCCATTATTGAACCATCAGAACCTGAACTTTGTATTTGGACTCATTTGTGCTCTACTTGGAATACACCCATCAAAACCCACACAAAATAAACACTTCCATGTCAGGGGCATTTTGCTCACTTCATCAATATTGACAATTTAACCAGCACCTAACCTGACAATCTGAGTTAAGTGTGACACTAATATATGGTAGCTAATGGCCAGGGAAAATTTTTGAAGATATCTTTTAATGACATGGAAATGCAGGATATTTGAATCTTCGAAGGAATAAATCACATTTTCATATATTTGCAGTGTCACGTTGGAAGTTTACCATTTTGTTTTATGTACATATTCCTGCATATTAGGTTCTCCACCATGTTCACTGATAGAATCTCTGTCAGCCAGTGGATCAAAAGATGTAAAGATATGATAGGCCAATGTGGTAAATTACAAAAGACCAAGATGTTAAGATATAATAGACCAATGAACTCTGGTCTGTGATCTGTTGTTACATAGTTCAACAATTGATGTGCTATTCCCTGTATATGGCCGCAATCATATGACATAAGTGTCTCTACATGCAACCAAGTTCATAACTATTTCGATAGGTATTTTTCATTTAGGCTTTTGCAAACATTGCATTACCATGAAAATCCAATGAATCATCATTCTAAAAGCTCATTTTGCTTATAGCTTTATGAAAGTCTGCATTGATGCATTATCTTGTAGAAGTTGTGAAGTAATCCATGTTTCTTTTTGACTTCATTACACTTTATTTTTATAAGCTTGTCGTGTCCTGCAATGCAGGAGGCATTTGCAACTATATCTAACCATACCATCATGGAGACTCTTGGAGTCCTACTTGGAGACTCTTGGAGACTCTTGTTTAGTTCAGCTTACGATCAGCTATCCCTACTTGTCGTTTGTTCCTCAGTCAAAACTATATGGTGCCTGCTTAGCTCATTTGTTCTGTTGTTTCGGATGTAAGGAACCATCCGATTTTAATTCACTGCAAACGGGGAAAGGTATGAAATTTAGGTCAGATCAAGTTACTTTATCTCACATATTTATGTAAGGATCTCTAAAACTCACTTATATTTACCCATCAATGTCCTTTCTTGCAGCACCGTACTGGTTGTCTTGTTGGCTGTTTCAGAAAATTACAAAATTGGTGTTTATCCTCTGTGCACGAAGAATACATAAAATTTGCATCAGTCAAGGCGCGGCCATCGGACATGAAATTTATTGAGATGTTTGATGTTTCGTGTATGATGCAATGTGTTCTTCATATCTTGTACCAGTACCATGGCTGTGGCAACCACACTCGGCGCCTTGCTTATCAAAAGACATCATAATTGCCCTTTAGGCTTCGCTGATTTTGCATGGGCAAGGAGAAGCATCTAACAAGATTCTCCATGCACTTGCTGATCTTAGTTCTCTCATCGTCTTTTCTGTACATCATTCTAGTTAGAAAATTATCATACTTTAAAGAGAAGTCTTTTAGGTGTAAGAACTGCATCTCTTGATGAACATATTGATCAGATATAGATTTTTTTTTTCTAGCTTTTATTCCTTGAGAAACTTATAGCGTTTAAATGGTTTAAACGCATAAGAAGATCACCATGACTAGTAGTTTGGGCTTCTTTTTTGTGTGTGAAAAGCATTTCTCTGAAATTTTTTGTGGTAACAACTTGTATGAGCTTGCCTTAGTCTTTTGGCTTTGCAAATTTAGCATGACATATATATAGGCAAAAGTTGACCATCATAATTGATATATATAGGAATTGTTCCTCTTAAGGCATTTGTGCTTAAGGGAAACAAATCAGGATTAATATTCCAAGACAAGTGTGTATTTGTAGCACCGGTAAGAGTTATATTAAGATTCTTATACTTATGAAAGTGAAATATTTATTCCGTTGCTCCAATAAAATTATTTTTTAATTTTTAATTTTATAAAATCATATATTTAACTTTGTATAGGAATCTTAATATTTTTCTTTCATAAATATAAGGATCCTTATTTTTTGAAAATATAAGAATCAAGATGCTAAAATAAACTAATTGATAATTTATGATTCGTCCAACACACATGAAAGATAAAGACTTAGTCATGTTAGCGAATAGAAGCTTGAGCTCCTCCAAAAACCAAATGTATGGTTAAGGAGTTAAATATCAAATTGAATAAGATAAGTAATCATGAAATAAAATAATATACAATCCTTGATTTCATGGACTCTGATAAATATATATATACTTGGCTTTTATTCTAGTCAAGCATTGTTCCATGAATCTCAATTAAATCTGATCCAAAGAGTGCAGTAACTTTGAATCCCCCCACACACACCCCAAGAGTTCTTCTACTTTGACTGCTCTCCAAGCTCGAACAGCCCTCGGCAGCATCTGAGTCCTTCACTGCTCGTCTTCATTGTCACTTTGTATCACGAGATCCCGATGGCGTGCGTATGGTACTGCTGTCTTTGTCGAGTATTTGTCTACCCAAAAAGTAAGCCAAAGATAGCCTCTAATTTCTCTTCCCAGATCCAGTAAAAACCTAACTCGATCCTCTGTATCTTAACAACATGATCATGGAGTTCATGATGGGTGTCGATTACTGTGTGTATGGCCGGTGAGAAGCTTCAGTACAAGACTCGTTAATCATGTGGTGAACTGGATGCCAAGACAAAGAGACAGTACTGGGAAAAGGTTGATCGACTAATATACTAATACCACTCGCTACAAATGCTGTACAAGCAAGTTCACATGCACTCCCCTTCCTTTATCACCATCGCCAATCGATTTAGGTTGCCAAGCCAACAAGGAATCCAATAGGGGAGGAGAAGAGAGCAGCTGCACCTCACTCGATCACTGCATGCATGTGGTCATGCCCTCAGTGGACCATGGGGTGGAGGGCCACCAGCCTGTGCAGCAGCCATGGCCAGCTCGAATGGCTTCAGCGAGAAGGAATTGGGGAGGGAGAGGCAGTCCGGAGCTCGGCCCCAGCTTTTCATGGTGCTGAAGCCATCCCACCCGATGTGAGCCACATGCTGCACATCTGTTGGGAACCCGATCTCCATCTCTACCTCCTCCGCCTCCTCTTCCTCCTCCTTGTCCAGAACAAACAGCTGAGAGAATCGCTTTAAGCCCTTCAGCATCTTCTGAATCCCCGCAGAGATGCTCGGCCGCTTGCCGGTGGCGTGCCTCCCACCTCCTCCTCCACCTTCATCAAGAACAATTGTAGACAAGGAAACAGACGTAACGATGACAAGAAACCCCCCAAAAGGAAGAGAGCGTTACTCGATGCTGCCGTGCCAGCCGGCTCAATCTGTGCTCTCTTGGGATGATGGCCTTCGGTGATGGCGACGCTGGATTGGGAGACGCAGCCGACCGAGAACGGTAACGCGACGAGCCTGTCCATTCTCCGGTCCCTCATTGCCACCCCCATAGAAGCATGAACCAAGGTTTACTGCTCTAGGAGATCAAGCGCGAGCGATAGAAGAAGAAGAAGAAGAAGAAGAAGAAGAAGAAGAAGAAGAAGAAGAAGAAGAGGGGTGGTGAAGTGGATATGTGCTGCTTGTTAGCGTTGGCTTTTCTAGCAAGCATTGATGATTACCCATACAAAAGAAGTAGTGAACCGAGTTTGGTGAGGGAGGGGGAAATGTCGTGAAGGATTGGATGGTTTGTCACCTACCATGCAGCTAAATCTGTAGGCCATTCTGAGCCCACCATGTCAATATTGGGGCACTACTCTCTTTCTCCTACCTACCGACTGGTGTTTCTTGGCCTGTCTTCTACAGTCCTCATTTCACTGAATGACCGAGATACAAATATAATAGAGAAGCTACTCCTCCTCTTTCGATTCCTTTTTCTTCCCCTAACCACTGCTGAAAGAGTGAGGGCCAAGCAATTTATGGCACTAAAATAGTGGTGCACTGCAAGTTGGAGGACGGATCCACCTGTGGATGGAGCTCACTCTTCTGCCTGCTTCTAAATCTTGGGGGTTCACATGATGGAGTCGAATAGGATTTGGTACTCTTCGGATTAGATTGAGCTGATCTCTCTTTGGATCATAAGCATCACCACAAGATCCACTGCTGGATCCAGCAAATGATCAAGGATATATCTGTTTGGTGGATTGGATTGTTAACCACAAGTTTCTTTTGTGCTTCCACAAGATTGAGAATTGGCCACTCGAAGCAGAAAAGCAAAGATGCAGATCAAAGATTGAAGTAGAACCATACGTGCAGCAAAAATCCCAAAACAAGTGGAGGACCAAACCCTGCTTAATTTCATTGATCAACTGTAAGACGAAGAAGAACTACATCGATTGATCTCCACTTTGCCATAAATACAGAGATGTAGAGAGAGAGAGAGAGAAGAGAGAAGAAAGAATCGCCGGTCGTTTACTCTGCCACAAAATCGACATGAACAACCAACATCAGATCATGAAACGCAGCCTCTTTCTACCATTGCTTGGGTCTCTATTGTGACACTGTCGTCTCGGAGTCAGAAGACACTGTGCTCGGTTCCGACGACACACGAAGCCTTTTAGCCGATGTGGAGTTGTCATCTGTCAAACGAACTCACATCAAAGAAGATGACATTAGGAAGCGCCAAATAGTAGGAAATGCATGCATGAAATTGTCACTAAGCTATTATTTTGTATGTTCCTATGTGTGATTTGATCAGTAATTTGATGGTTATTGGTTTTAATCTGCTCTAACATTAAATTAACCTTTTTGTTATCTAAAAAAAAATCATCTTTTTGGTAGCTGAAAGAAAAAGGAGACTTCAAACCAGTGATGCTCAAAGTAGATGGCACTTATTTTCTTCACCATCTGTCTACTCTTTAATCATTTCTCTGTGCTCAATGATAATGTATAACATATGTCTCTTTATTAACTTTCCAAGCTCAATAATCAAAGTGGAGCCAATGCATCATTAGCTACTTTGATCGTATCTTTTTGAGAAAAAAAGAGTTCTTCGGACTCACTCCCAACAACATCAATGTTTTGATTATATGTAGAGGTAGGTTTTTTTTATTGCCGCTGTGTTGAGATGCATATGATATCATATCGGAAGGACTATACTAAGATCACTTGGAACCGAAAAAAAATTTATCTTCCTCCCAAAATTATGAGATATGTTTAAACGAGAGAGAAGTTTGCTACGATAGAAGACATGCAAAGTAAGGTTGATTCTTAAGCATTGGATATATAATATCTCAGTTCATGAGGATCAAATTAAGCTAACAACATAACACAAACAATATGATGTGTGCGCGAATTTAGCTTTATTCTTCTCATACCTTCCGTGGATGTGCTGCCCGATGACCAGTCACCAACTTGTTGGATCAATGGAGTATTGTGAAGATTTCCTGAACCTTCAGATTTGCATGGTGGATTCTCATCTTCCTGAATTGTTCATAGTAATGAGTCACAAAAATAAGAAAAGCAAAACTGTAAACATTTGATTGAGTCACACCTTCTTTTGAGCTATGGTTGATGATTTCATCGAAATATAGCTTTCGACTTCAATTCGCGACCTAAATCTCCTCATAGTGATGGGCGAATAGTAGTACTACAAAAGGAAAAGAAATAGTATTTCAAATCCATGTTGTAGTCCATGTAATTAAGCAAACTAGATTCTTAAATGAAGACAAGCATGCATATAATCTTTGTATGATCTTCCTAATTTGATGTTTCAAGAAACAATATAATGTGTTTCAGTGTATGTGTGTGAGTTTTTTGACTTTGAAACATTTTTCAAATGAAGTTGACTTTTGGGAGGGTTGACTTTTTGTGCCAAATGAAGTTGTGGATGTATATATATATTGATACTTGCCCTTTCCTTAAGCTTATAGGCATATACGCTATCATCATAGAGAAAAAATAGGGAATAATCGTTTAGGCCTTTATTGTCTTATCGGCTATAAATAATCATAAGGGACTACTTGATTCTACTTTGCGGAGGTGATTTTATATCATAGAGTCAAACAATAAAGACATGTCGAGGTAACGAGATGATTATATTTTAAGCTACTAAATCAAATAGAAATACATTAGATTGCTTCAAATCGAGATGTAGTGACATGCCTTGTTGACTCGGAGTCAGAGTTGATTGAGATGTCCTTTGAAGTAGATTATGGAAAACAAGAGGATGGCCAGCGAGGTCCTTCTTCAAATCTCAAAGTCATTAAAACTAAAATCGTGAATAAACAAAGCAATGGCAATTGTGTTATCACATTGAAAAAAAGGGAATAATGGTTTAAACCATTATAATAAGCTTTAAGTTGTCTATATTTATTAAATGAACTATATTTTAAAAAATGATGAGGATATATTGGATTAGATTTTATTTCAAAAATCTATATATAACATTTCTTTGCTAATGACGAGACTAGTTTTATCATCTTATTGATTACAATAACAATGGTCAACCAATTCTTTCTTTTTAAAGATAGAGGATACATCGAAGAGTCAAATAGTAAGGATAGATATGGTGATGAGATTGTTATTTTTTAGATATTAAAATAATAAAGGTGTATCATGATGGCTGAGATTAAGATGTAATGTTGAATCTTATTAAATCCAAATCAAGTTGATCAAGCCGAGATGCCCATTTGTAGAGTTGGCTTCGAAGTGAATTATGTGAAAAAGAAGAAGAATGTCAAAAATGTGCTTGATAAAGTCGTCTATCAAAGCTCAAGTCACTGAACTTATAAAATATTGAATAAACTAAGTATTGACAAGTATTTTTAGATTTTTGAAGCTAGTGTCTTCGGAGGATAAGGAATCGGAAAGGACTTGTTTGTCAAGAAAAAAACTCTAAAAATTAAGATTTAATTAGTATATAAATATACATCAAGATTTGATTCAGAAGAAGAGAAAAACTATGTAAGAAATTCTTCGATTTGATTATTGTGTGTGTGTGTATATATATATATATATATATCAAAGAGAAAAAAATTTTAGGCTCATATGAGAGGGTGTACATATGAGTTTGTTATCCTTTCGGACTATGTTAGAAAACAATGAGTCTAAAACAAACTTATTAGGTTTGATATCAATTTAACTCAAAATTTTAAGGTTGTTTTGTATTAAAATCCAATATATATATATATATATATATATATATATATATATATATATATATATATATATATATATATATATATTCTCCCCTCTCAAATATAGATGTAGAGAAGAGGCAGAAAATAGAGGCCAACTCCCAAAATGAGCTATTTGTCAAGCATGTTGAAAAAAGATATTAAGAGAAAAAAAAAAGGGAGAAAAGAGATGTTAGTGAGAAGAGGAAGACATTAGTAAGAAAAGAAGAAGTAATGTATTAGTTCAATTTTTTTTTGTTTATTTCAAAAGGAAAGGAAAAGAAAATTATGTATTATTTAGAAAAAGGAAATAATAATACTTCATCATAATATGGGAAACCTTTGATCAAGAAAAGGAAGAAGAATGTACGTATTGAGCATGCACGAGAAGAACATTTGGTGAAGACGAAGAATGCACGAGAATGATTGAGAAGCACCAAACCTTGTCTTTGTTTCCTTTGCTCCTTCCCGACTTCCTCCGTCTGGTTATCACCAGCCATTCCGGTGGCAGCCACGCCGGCGCGATCACCGCCTCCACCTTAACGATCCCCCCTTCGATCTTCTTGTTCCCCTCCACTGTCTCCTTCTCCTCCTCTACCGGGATCACAGTCCACGTTGCCTCCACCTCCACCTCCTCCTCCAACTTCCTCTTCCCCTTCCTCTTCTCCGCCTCCTGTTCTCGCGACCCAACTGCCATCTGTTCTTTCACCTGTGTTATGACCTTCACCAGCTTTTCAATCTGCGCCAGTATCTCATCCTCCGCTGCCACCACTGCATCCTCCTCCTCCTCCTCGCGCATGCGCGCCGCCAAGCTCCTCATCTCGTCGCTCATGGCCTCCTCCACCACCTCTGCTGTTTGCATCAGCTCCGGCGTGGCCTCCTCTTCTTCCGTCTCCATCGCAGCAGGACTTCTCCCGTCCATCTGTGCTCGTGTGGCTACTTTGCCGCACAGAATCAACCATATCGATGGACTGCTGTTGGCTACATGTAATAAATACAACATGAGATGGCTTCTTTTACGTGATCATTACTTGCGCAGGTACAGTGAGAACATCGAGTGCACTTCATGTAGCCAACCCAACTTTTATACCGGACAACGTGGCGACATCCGAGAGGTGTTTCGGTGAGGGACGTGGAATAAGGAGAAAGGGTGGGGAAAGTGGTGAGATATTATGGTCGATGATGCGTATATTAAGGAAGTATTGGTTTGGTGAGATGGAAGAATGTACAGACAGAGAGGGCATTGGTTTGAAGGGATGCATTGGTGTCATCACCGAAGAAGAGGTGCAGCTCCCTTGGTTTGGCTGCGGCACTGTAAGGAAAGCTTGGAAGGTTTTGCATGGCATGAGGGTGTCAATTTAATCCTACAATGTTTAGTCCCATTTCATCAAAGCTTTTCTCTTTTTGTTGCTGTTACATGAATCTGAATGATTTGTTTTTGTTTTTAGGAAATGATGATTCAGTGCTACAATATACTAATAATCCAATCACATGTATTAGAAGAATCAAAGATTGGAAAACAATCAGTATACCATGCAAAATTCATCATGTATTGATTTGGATTTGGACCATTTGATTTTTTTTTTTTTTTGTCAATTTGATCCATTCTGACAAATTTCATAACACCAATAATGTCCACCATAAGTCTGAATGAGAAAATGAATTATTGTGTTGGATAACATAAATTATACCAAATCTTATGAGCAATAGATCTTAAGCACTTTTAGAGTTGAAACATTATGACTTGTTGTTGTTAATTATTGTGGCGAGACAAATTTTGATTGTAGGATATAAACACATCTTTGTCAAATTCTTAGAAAAGATAGGATAATACATATTTTCTTTAGTGAGCAAGTAGGTATAGCTTCGATAAAATGAGAAAGGTTCTAAGATGGCAAGACTGTACTAAGGAAACCTATGGAAATAAAAAAGAAATAGAAAACTATTCCATACATGCATATAATTTTTCTTTGAAAAGGAATTCGGAAAAAAAAAAAAGTTTATCACACCAAAGATCGAAGCATTCCGAAAGCGGTTGCAAGTCTAGAAGTAGATGAGATCACTATTCAGATATGCATTTCAAAGTCCATCTTTGTCACGCAACTCATATCATTCTGTCGTCGCAGGCTTGTTCTCGCTCGCCTTGGGTTTCTGCTCCTTTGGCTTCTGCTCCTCAGATTTCCTATAGAGGCACAAAGAGTTCCGTCATTTGGAGAGAATTAAGGACATTTGACAGACAACAGTCTTTTATTAGCCAATCATAAAGATTTTTGAGAAAAACTTAATTGTGCAGAAAGAATCCATTGGAAATGTTACAAGACACAAATCGATCTAATGAGGTCTACATGAAATATGCAATTACCAATACTTGCATAGAGAAACATAGAGCATGTCTCAGTTTTATTTTCCATTACAAAAATCTTACAAGACAGTGGTATGATAATGCGATCTGAAACAAAAGAAGTGCTATGGCAGCATTTATTAAATTACCAAAAAAGAATTGTCTTTTTTATGCTATGTTCTCCACAACTTCAGAGAATAATGGAGCTGTGTGATACATAAACAACATCCGACAACTCGGAAGTATTTCCAGTTAAAAGCACTTCCAATTGGAAGTACTTCTGATCCAAAATCCCATCCAAGAAATACATAAGAAACTCTATATAGATAGCAACATCGTGCGAGCTACAAAAGGAGACAGCTGGGCATATGTATATTCCTCTTTGTGAGTTTCTCTTTTCATCCAAGACTGTGATGCCACCAAGTATAAGCTATTCTGTTATGAACCCTTCTCATAAACTAAAGTACCACTAGTGGTAATACCTCTTTTACTGAAGAAAACTTGTCATTTTATGGCCATGACAGCGATATCAACATCGTGCGAGCTACAAAAGGAGACAGTAAGGCATATGTATATTTCTCTTTGTGAGTTTCTCTTTTCATCTAAGACTGCGATGCCACCAAGTATAAGCTATTCTGTTATGAACCCTTCTCATAAACTAAAGTACCACTAGTGGTAGTACCTCTTTTACTGAAGAAAACTTGTAATTTTATGGCCATGACAGCGATATCAACTAGGTCTTGCATTGAATTCAGAGGGTCTCCTTACCCCTAGATGCAGTCAGAGGCTTTCCCCAATGGAGATTTATTTCCCTTGTATCTTACAATATAAGACTTCCATAAAATAGATGTACATTTCATTTTTTTCATCCTTTCACATAAAATTCAAATAATATAGATGACACTTCGACACTCAACAGGAAAGCACTTCAAATCAAATACTGCCACTTTCAAATTAAAGAAGCAACACCAATGGAAATTACTGTCTGGCTCATGAAAAGATAACTTCCTTCCCAAATAATGCATGCATTTTTTCCTTAAGTTTTACTCTTTATTAGTCATCATTTCATATATATGTCATAATTATATCAACTTGCATATATTTCATACCGATTCATAAAAAGCAGATGAACGAGCAGTATACTCAATATTTTTATTAGCGAAATTGAATAATTAATTCTCTATCTCTCTCTGTATATCCTTAAATGATACAAAAATCTCCAGGAAAAAATTTTCTAATAGTGAAGCTTGCTGACTGTATGCCCAGTTATTTTTAGAAGTGAAGCTGAACTTTCAGCTAGGCATTTAGTAAAATAATATAGGGAATAGGGATGCAATGATCCTCTTACTGCATCATTACATCATTTGACAAGTGCAGTGTGCTCACAGCACTATATTTTGTAGTAAAAGAGAACTAAAATATAAAACAGAATAATAAAATATCGGACTGGACAATTTTGGAACAATATTTTGATATCTGTGTCTGTAAGTTCAATCCATTTTGAAATTACTTAATACAGGACACCAGAATGATTCCAAGAGGTATGATCTTTGAGACATGACTACATAGAATAGAGTATAATGCACAAATACGCAAGGAAAAAACTGGTAAATATCAGTTTCTAAACTAAAGAACTTCAGTAACAATATGATGATATCAGTTCATACATCACCAATCCAGTAATGGACCACACATCAATCACAGCAAATAAAAGTACATATAAATATTTAGCAACTCATGCAGATACACAATGGCATTTGCATAACAAAATGAGCACAGAATAAGTAGATGGAAGAGACTGGAAACTAAATCAAATTACACAGAAGACGCACTAAAGAAAACAAACATTAATCAGATAATTCTCTATGTTACTACTAACCAACAGTAGATGACCAAAAACGAAGAGCAAGCAAGAGTTTAATGGTCAAGGAAAAAATATTAAATTTAAGAAAAGGGAATATGAGGAAAAGTTAAAATGCCAAATTATATGTGACTAGTGTTTCATTATAATAGATGTTACATAGGAACTGGATGATGAAAATTGATTTAAAGAAGAGGACTGACACCAATAGTATTCAAACAAGGGACTTGTTTGTCCAATTCTTATTCATTGGTTTTCAACCAAGTGTATCACAACAAAGACAAGAGGAAGTACTAAGAGTACAAGGATATTATATTTTTTGAGAAGGGAAACTAGACCCTCAATATAAGCCACAAGGCCACAATGTTACTGTAGAACACAAGTCGGATACAAGACTCACTAAATTTATTCAAGTTCGTAGTTCCATGACAGGAAAATGTGCAACTTCATGAAAGAAAAATCCCAAGCCTCCTGAAAGGTCAAAGAGATGCTTTACCATCCAATATAATGGATGGTTGAAAGGAAATATATACAAATAAAACTAATCTTAAAGTACATTGCCTCGAGTAACTAGAACTACAATTGTACGCCCAAGTGATGAAAATATAGAGTCAAATGCAACTTATTTACTTTTTAATTCTGCAATAGCAAAAGGCCTCAGGGTTCTTATTTGCAAGTACTTGAAATTCATGTCCCAATGAGCAATTTCTCATTTTCGAAGTCTATAACTTGGCTGAAGTTTTCCTAGATTGACTCTCACAATTTGTCATCAAGTTTTGTAATGGATAAATAATCAACACAATAATTTTGGATTTGACGTATCATAGTTCATACAATTTAAAGCTAGCCCCACATATACGTGGTAAGCTTTCATGGAGAATCGAAAGTCATTAAAAAATTATTTTTAAATATTTTCATAATCAACTAAAAGGATAAAAATGTAAAGAATAGAGGAAAAGCAAAGTTGAAGATTGACCCGGAATTATAAATTTTGAAGTGAAAAGGTGCCCCTATGCTGATAGTCAGAAAACCATATCAGCAAAAGAAGTTCATCTACGGAAGAACAAATTAAAAAAGGTACCATTCTGTCCCCTGTAAGTGTTTATTCTGTGTTTCTAGCTCGCAGTTTTTATTAACTGTTATTCTGAAAATAGATCAACAACTGCTTATAGTTCAGTTGAGCTTTAGCCTTAAGCTATACTATTAATCTATAATGCAAAGGTTCCTCTCAAATACAGAGATAGTACAGCATTTGCGCCCTGCTCAGTCATTCACTGGTACATTCTTATTCTTTTTTCCTCAAGAAAATGAAGACAAGTTCCAGTTATTGCTAATTCAAACGTATTAAATTGGAACTTTTGCTAAGACTTGTAGGTTGGGTGAATCCATTGCCTTCGTTCAGTTCTTGAGGAACACAACCCATAACTTGAGGAACATAAATCCCAAGAGGTACCTCACGCAATAACATGTTTCTACCCTTCACAAATCATAAACCAAATCGAATAAAAGACTCTAACTAGTATCGACTACCACTGTACCACTACACACACACATCCAAGATTATTCAGCCCGCAAAAGATTGGATCTTCTGGGGAAAAAGAACCTTTCATCTTTCATACATCGATCAACAGTGTTCGTCGAAGTGGCAAAGCAGCGACACGGGTATGCAGAGAAGAAGAGGAGTATCGTTACCGCTTGTCGGCGGCGCTGCCTCCTTTTTGGCTTAGGAAGGAGCGGAACAGAGGGGAGTTGACGTCGTAGATCATGGCGCTAGGGTTTTGAATCCCTTCCCACGGGGCGTAATCTATTGCACGACAAAGGGGTTTGACAGCTTAATATATATATATATATATATATATATATATATATATATATA